TCTTTACAGCTAATTGGTTTTTGTGCTGCTTTTAAAACCTCACTTATACACACTTCATATTAAGACCATTTTCAGATTGAAATTATGGTTGAAGCCAGGCATGGTGGCATACACCTTTAGCCCCAGCACTTGGGAGGCAGAGGCAGGTGGATCTCTGTGAGTTTGAGGCTAGCCTGATCTACTTAGTGAGTTCCAGAGCCTGTCTCAAAAAAGACACACAAAAAAAGAAATTATGGTTCAATGACAGAACCAAATGCTGGCCCAGTATTCATTGAGTTTTGGAATCTTAGAACAAGAGAATTTTCTAGAGGTGAAAGAAAGAATAGATACTAAAGAAAATGGGATTAAAAAATTTTTTTTCAAGAAAATTTTGATGAAGACTCCTAAAGGGATCTCATGTGGCTCAGACTGGACTCAAATTTACTGCATAGGTAAAGCTGGCCTTGGACTCTGCATGCTCCTGCCTCTATCTCCCAATGTGGGGTTTATAGATGTGAACTACCATGCCTGGCTCAAAAAGGGTTCTACATGAAAATGATAAACATCACTCTAAATGTAATAGGGTTCAAGTGTAATACCTAAAACAACTTGAAAAATCCATAAGCTACTATAAAGTCAGTCATTATTTTAAAATCTTTATGGGTCTATAGTAACACATGATTCTTGAATCTGTGCTAGCACATTTCTCTATGCTAGCACATTATTGGAGGCGATTTTACATTGTGTTTTTCTTTGAAACACTAGAGACTCTTAGTGACAGTTGTTATTTTCCTTACCAAATATTCTCACTCTGGAGTGGTAACCCCAAGGAAGGAACTCGTAGCTCTTTTTCTCTTTACATGCCCCCTCCTTTCTGCTCAATGAAATTATTCATTGTTCATTTTTTTGGACAATAGTTTTGACCTGTCCTTTTTCCTCAGGATTGGCATTTACCCAGTTCAGTAAATACCAGTTTCAGTCATCCTGGGAGGTAGGCATTTGAAAATGAAGGTCACCGTTGATAGTCCACTGACTATAAACAGTTGAACCCCTGAAATGAAGTGGTTGATAGCAGAGTTTCATGATGGATCGAAGTGGGAGAGTTTGCTATAGCTCTACAATTAAGAAATTGTTCTGCTTGATGGCAAGACCCTATACTGAAGACACCACACACATTGGTCACAGGACATGGAGAAATCCAGTCGGTACTGACCAGGAAGCTTTCTCCATACTGGCTAGCTCTCATAGTATTGGGGAAAGATGTCATCAAGTCTTACTGAGCTGTATACCCTGTGAACTGCAGTAACAACTGGTGGAAAGATGCCATTGGGTACAATAGTGGCATGAATGTTATGGGGGCAATGTTTTCTGATTGGATTTAAGGCTCATTCCACAGGAGGAAACACCTTCCTGGTACTGTAAATCTGGCCAAGAACCCATGGTTGGGGAGATCACAGACCCTAGACGGGAACATAGAACACAGTAGACAAACTACCCTCTACATTTGTGTTTTTTCTACCAATCAGGTATCAGACCTCATCAGTGAAGGTTTTATTTTTTTTGTGCAGTAGATGGTGGATAATGCAGGAACTTAAAACTACTGCCTGCCTCACGTGGTTCAGGGACCATAGCAGAAGAAGGAGGGCAAAGATTGTAAGAGCCAGAGGCCAGGGAGGACCAGAGTGAAACAGCGTCTTCTGGATACAACAGACCCACTGCACTCATGGACTCACAGCAGACACAAGGGACGCACAAGATCAGGCCAATCAGCAGTCTAACAGCAGGGGAAAGGGCTCACAGACCCCCTGACTGAGGAGGTGTGGACAACCAATGGCGTCTAGGGGAGGGAGGGTCAGGTTTTTCAAGGATATGGCCCTGTGGGCATGTCTGTGGAGCATTTACCTGATTGTTGAGTGATGTGGGCCCACCCCTGGGCAGGTGGTCCTGGATTATACAAGAAAGCAGGCTGAACACGAGCCAGAGGAGCAAGCCAGTAAGCAGCATTCCTCAGTGGTCTCTGAGTCAGTTCCTGTCTCCAGGTTCCTGACCTGACTTCCCTCAGTGATGGACTGTGACCTGGGAGTTGTAAGAGGAAATAAACACTTTCCCCCATAAGTTGGTTTTGGTCAGAGTGTTCTATCACAGCAATGAAAAAAATAGCTAAAATAGGTAGGGAGGTGGGGGTAGATCTGTGAGGAGTTAGGGTGATTATGATTAAAATACCTTGTATGAAATTCTCAAAGAATTAAAAATTTTTTTTAAAAAAGAAAAATTTCTGGAGGTTTTATAGAGTAGCTTTGATTTGACACAATAAATCTTCACATAAAAAGAGATAAAATATTAACATAGTAGTGATGTTTACCTCTTAAGAGCTCCACATTTATCCAGTACTTTGCTCTGGGGAGCAGAATCTTTTGTTTGTTTTCCCTGTAGTGTTTTTATAATGTTTGTGTTTGTATGATCAGTTTGATACAGAAAGAACTATATGAGTTGCTAAGAATTTCATAGAAAGCTAGTGCTGGTGATCAGGCTGACTGAGCTGGCTGTTGTAGTTTTTTGCTATTTTGTTTTTGGGGGAATCCTAACTCCTTTTGGGCTTACAATAGGAGAATGCTTTGGGGATGCTTGACCTTTCTTTAGGGAACTATCTAGCTCTGAAAACTAGGTTGGTAAAATTCTTAGGTATATGGGTATTAAGACTAAATGATAGTAGTTGGGTGTGGTGGTACATGCCTTTAATGCCAACCCTTAGGAGGAAGAGGCAGGTGGACCTCTGATTGAGGCCAGCCTGATCTACATAGTGAATTCCAGGCTATCTGGGGCTATAGGGAGACCCTGTCTCAAAAAGACCAAGGAAAACAGATTGAAAGAATATTGTATCACATTTCATCCTTTTAAGGGACAAACCAGATCATATGTTTTGTGGGTTTAAAAAGTTAAATTTTTTAAATTTCACGTGTGTGTGTGTGTGTGTGTGTGTGTGTGCATACGCCCATGCCACAGCACTCATATGAGGCCAGAGGACAACCTGCAGGAACAGATTATCTCCCTCTACCATGCGGGATCTGGGGATCTAGCACAGGATGTCTGGTTTGATGGCAAGAACCTTTACCACTCAGCCATCTCGCCAGCTAATGATTAAATAAGCTTATATTTAAAAACTTGAAAATAGGGCTGGAGAGCTGACTCAGTGGTTAAGAGCACTGGCTGCTCCTGCAGAGGACCTGGGTTCGATTCCCAGCACCCACATGGCAGCTAACAACTATCCGTAACGATACATTCACATACATAGAATAAAAATAATAAAATATTATTAAAACCTTGAAAATAGTAGATGTAGTAATTCTCGGTGAACTCTGTTACTGGAAGTGGGTGGGAATAGGCAGCCTTCCCTGTCTGTTTTAGACTCTTCTGAATTGGAAATGTTGAAAGCAACTGAGCACATATTATTTATATAATAAAATGTATTTTAAATGAAAAGACCTTAAAATAGTGGACATGATATTTTTCTGACAATTAAATACTTGAAATATTATTTTTGGGACTAATGTTTAGGATATACTTTATTTATTATATTGGTACAGAGTAGTCTGCCTATGTTAAGCTCTTATCTGAGAGATGCTAGTATATTCCAGGTTGGTTTTGAAGTGCCTCTGTCTATGACCTTGAGCTTCTGAGCCTCCTGCTTCCATCTTTGGAGTAGTATGTTTATAGGTGTGCTCTACCGTGCCTGGTTTATGGGGGTTCTGGGGAATGAATTCAGTACTTTATGTACGTTAAGTAAACACCCTATCAATTGAGTTATTACCCAGCCTGCAAAAGAGGGGGAGGAAAGATTGTAAGAGCCAGGGGTGGTGCATGACCATAAGGAAACAGAGTTTTCTAGGTTTCTGGGACCTTGATCACATGAACTTACAGCAATGGTGTCAGCATGCACAAGACACATGCAGACTCAATCAGACAAAAACCAGCATAGAACTGAGGAAATGATCCGGAGGACCCAACCTTAGCTGAGGAACTCTTGGCAGTTGATTACTGCTGGGTGAGGAAGAGTCAACCTTCTTTAAGGGAGTGACACTAGAAAAACTGAACAGGCTCCAGGGGATGAACTCACATGGCGAGACATCTGAAATCCTGAGGGTGGGCTATGGGGGGTGCATATAGAAGAGGGGGTCTAAATATGATTGAGATCTATTGTATGGAATGTACAAAAATTCAATAAAAATATATGTTCAAAAAAGAAGTAACTCAGCCGGGCATGGTGGTGCATGCCTTTAGTCCCAGCACTTGGGAGGCAGAGGCAGGTGGATCTCTGTGAGTTCAAGGCCAGCCTGGTTTACATAGTGAGTTCCAGGACAGCTGGAGCTACAGGGAGACCCTGTCTCAAAAAGACCAAAAAAAAAAAAAAAAAGTAACTCAGTGAAGACTAAACTTTTATAAACATACGCTTTAAAAAATTTATTTATTATTTTTATTTTGTGTGTATGAGTGTTATGACTGCATGTAGGTAAGTGTAATGCCCTCAGAGGGCAGAAGAGGCTGTTAGATCCCCTGGACTGGAGTTACGGACAGTTGTTGTTGCCATGTGGGTACTGGGATTCAAACCTGGGTCTTCTGCAAGAACAGTCAGTGTTCTTAACCAATGAGCCATCTCCCCAGCTGCATAATCATACACTTTTAGGACTTAAGTCTTGGTAAGGAAACTTTCACAGCAATGGAAATTCAGCATGGTGGAAGTAGACAGCAATTAAAAAAAATCAGCTGTTACTAGTCAGTTGAGCTTACAATTTTCTTTACAGGAAGGTGGTACCATACTTCTTTAAACTCCAGAACATCTATCACAAACAAGTGTTGATTTGAAACTGCACTGTTTATTAAGATGCAGTGTCCTAACTATCGAGTGACAGTATTTTAATATTATGCTTAGTCATGGAATATTCTTAGAATTTGGGTGACTGATTAATGTTGAAGTAGATACAGTTGAGGCTTAAATTACAAGTATTTGGGGTTGTGTTTTTCAGGTAAAGCCCTGAAGATATCAGCTGAGAGATTTACAGAGGACCCCTGCTATCTCCCAAAAAGGGAGGCTGTGGTTCAAGCTGCCCGTGCCTTGTTGGTGGCAGTTACAAGACTCCTTACTCTGGCGGACATGATTGATGTCATGTGTCTCTTGCAACATGTGTCATCTGTAAGTAGAAGGTGGCTTAGTTTGCTTTGGTTTTATTTCCACTAATTTCAATCCCTGAAGTCTGGCATTCCATCAGTCTGGTACTTCATATTTTTAATTTCACCCTTCAGAAGCTGACTGGATGGGTTGTTAAGACCTATCAATGCCTCAGAAACTTTGCCACTGGGAACCTAAAGAACAGCAGATGGCTTGCTGATGAAGAAGTGGCAGAGAAAATTCTAGACTTTTGACCACTGAGATTATTTTGTCCTATACTAATAGATTTTGTTTTGGGTGTGAGTGTGTGTAGAGGACGAGGTTGGTCTTGGGGGTCTTCCTCGGCTGTTCTTCAGCTGTTGACTGAGGCAGGTCTCTCCCTGCAACCAGACCCAAGATTCGGTCAGTATAGCCAGCCAGGAATCCCCTGCCTTGTCTTCTGAGCCTTGGGAGCACAGGGGAGCCTCTGTGCTCACCCAGCCTTTTGTGTGCAAGCTGGAGATGTGTTTGTTTCTCCATTGCTGTGACAAAATACTCTGACCATTACCAACTTAGGGAGGAAAGGGTTTATTTGTCTTACATCTCCTAGGTCACAGTTCATCAGGGAGCCCAAGGTAGGCATTCAGGGCAGGGACCTGGAGGCAGGAGCTGGCACAGGCCATGGAGGAACGCTGCTTACTGGCTTGTTCCCTGGCCCATGCTCAGCCTGCTTTCTTATCCAACACAGGCCTACCTGCCCAGGGGGTGGCACCACCCACAGTGGGCTGGGCCCTACCACATCTCTCAACAATCAAGAAGATGCCCCACAGACCTGGCCACAGAGCAGTCCTCTGAAGGCAATTCCTCAATTGGGGCTCCCTCAACCCAGGTGTGTCAAGTTGACACTAAAGCGATCCAGCACAGACCCTACTGCTAAAGACACTTCATACATGAGTTGTAGAACAAACAAGAGAAATCAAGCTGGTGCTGACTTCAAAGCCTCATCTCTACTACCCCTAGTGCTAGAAGGGGCTATTCATGCCACCTGAAGAGAAAATTGATCATTAACTTTACCCAGCTGTGGCTCCTGCAAGCTTCAACAATTGGCCCAGCAAAATATTCCAACCACTGCAATAGTGACATAAATATTATGGGAATAACCAACTACTTTCTAATAGGATTAAAGATTTACTTCATAAGCTGGAGCCTATATCTGATACCAGATGTAGGAGCCTGACAGGCCGCAGGCCATAGGGGAGAGCCTGATATTATTATTCTGCTAAACAGATAATACTATTAAACGGACTCCTAATGTTTTATTGCTGTACCTGTAGATTAATGCATCACTCTTATTTTTTATTGTAGGCGTTTGTAGCTCTAAACTGTCTTCTTAGAACTGCCTTAGTTGTTTATGAAAGTTTGTGATAAGTTGTGTTTTCATTTTCATTGGATTATAGGAATTTTAATATCTTCTCTGATTTCTTCAGCGATTGCTCAAGGGTGTGTTGTTCAGTCTCCAGTTAGTTGCATAGTTACTATAGTCTCATTTTCTATTGATTTTTCAATTTATTCTGGTATGATCTCATGAGACACAAGAAATTATTTTGATTCTCTTGCATTTGTTAAGACTTTCTTTGTGACCAAAAGTGTCATCTATTTGAAGGAAGGTGGCAAAGAACCTGTATTTTGTTTTTATTGGATGGAATGTTTTACAGATATCTCTTAAAAATTATTTATAGGCTGGGCGTGGTGGCACACGCCTTTAATCCCAGCACTTGGGAGGCAGAGGCAGGCGGATCTCTGTGAGTTCAAGGCCAGCCTGGTCTACTTTAGTGAGTTTCAGGACAGCTGGGGCTACAGGGAGACCCTGTCTCAAAAAGAACAAAAATTTTTAAAAAATTTTATGTATATGAGTGTTTTGCCTGTATGTATGTAAGTGTACCACATGTGTGTATTGCCTTCAGAGGCCAGAAGAGGGTGTAAGATCCCCTGGAACTGGAGTTATGGGTGGTTGTTGGCCACCATGTGGGTGCTAGGAATTGAACCTGGGTCTTCTGGTAGAATAGCAAGTGTTCTTAACCGCTGAGCCATCTCTGCAGCCCCTATGGGTATCTCTTAAGGCCATTTGATCTATGGTATAATTTAACTTAGTTTTTTGGGGTTGGTTTTCTTTTTTTTAGCTTTTTTAACTTATTTTTTATTTTTTTGTGTGAGAGTGTGGTGCCCACATATATGTAAGGGCACCCATGTCTTGCAGTGCCCACAGAAGTCAGAAGAGAGTGTCAAATTACCCTGGAACTGAAGTTACAGTTGGTTGTTATAGCCACCATGTGGGTGCTGGAAATCAAACCTGGGTCCCTGAGCACTCAGCCAGTGCTCTTAACAACTGAGCCATCTCTCCAGCCCCTAGTTTTGATGACTTATCTCTCAAGATGAGATTGGGGTATTGAAGTCACCCTCTATTTGTAACAGACCTCTGTTGTCCATTAATATTTTATGTAATTAGGAGTCCCAACAGGTGGTACAGATACATTTACAGTTGTTATACCTTCTTGATGAATTGTTCCCTTTGTTCCTATGTAGTGGCCTTTATCTCTTCTGATTAATTTTGGTTTGAGATCTACTTTATTAGGTATCAGAATAGCTATGCCGACTTGGTTTGGGTTCTGAGTTACTCGGTTTGATGACTTCTAATCCTTTGACTCAGTCTCTGTATGTATCGTAGAGACAAAAGCTAGTTGTATTGTTTTTTAAAAAATCCAGTCAGCTAGTCTGCATCTCTCTATTGATAAGTTGAGTCCATTTACATTTAAGGTTATTACTGAGATATGTTTACTAATTCCTGTAATTTTGTTGGTTGTTTTTCTGGTGGGTTGGATTGCTGTTTCTTTTCTTTTCTTTCCCTCTTATTACCTGAGGATTTGCTGGTTTACTGTGGTGGACATGGTGAGTTCCTTTCTAGCGCCCCTCTGTTAACCTGTTCCTCTCATGAAATTATTCTTCATTGTGCTTTTGGATTCATACTGTTTTTCTTCCTGAGTATACTTTTCCTTAATTGTCTTCGGCAGTCCCTTACTGAACTGCCCATACTGAACTGCAGTCCCATCATGAACTGCTTGTTTGCACTTGTCTTGAAATGCCCTTATTTCTCTGTCAAACTTTAAAGGTAGCTTTGCTGGATATAGCTAACTTGGTTTGCAGTTACTTACTTGGTTGCAGAACTTGAAATACACGGCTTCATGTTTTCCTGGCTGTCAGGGTTGCTGATATGATGTGTTTGCCTTTGTTAGGTTAGTATTTTTCTCGTGCATATTCCAATATTGTTACTTTGCCTTTGTATTTTTGATATTTTGATTATGTTATACTGTGGAGAGGGTCTTTTCTGGGCACGTATATTTGGGGTTCTAAAAAACCTCCTGTTTTTGGATGTCCCTTTACTTCTCTATATTTAGGAAATTTTCTGCTGTAATTTCATTGATAGAATATATCTTTAGTTTTTATCTTTGCTCATTCTGTTCTATGGAGTTTTAAGTTTGGTCTCTTGATAGTAGCTCATAATTCTTAGGTGTTTATTATTCTTCCCTAATTGGTCTTTGAATGTAGTAGTCCCTCAACCTTGTCCTCCGACCCTGACATTCTTTCTTTTGTTTGGTGGAGTTTGTTGGTGATGTTTTCTATTGTTTTTTTTTTTGTTTCATTGACTTTTCATTTTCAGCATTTCTGTTTTTTTTTTCCAGAATTTGCTGATTTTTCTTCATTTAACTGATTAAAAAAATTTCCTGTTGCTGATTTCTTCATCTATTTTTTTCCATCTTGTTTTATGTTGCTGACTTTCCTCTTCAGATCCTGTCTTGAACTCGCTTGATTGTATCCTCTATGAGGTCAATGATCATTTTTCCTAGTAAAAAATTGAAATAAAAAAGTATCGATTTTAAAAATTCTTTGTTTTATACATGCATATAATGAATTTTAGTTCTTCTCCCTTTCTCATCCCCCTCCTTCTCCACTGAAACCCTTCTCAACAAATCCACCACCCCACATTCATGTCTTTTTGTGTATATGTGACTCACTGAGTTAAATAGGGTTGCCTGCATCAACATGGTTACTTACTGGAGCATGGGGCAACTTATCAGTGCTTACATCCTTTACTCTAGCCCACTACTGTCAGTTGTCCCTTAGGGAGGGATAGGACCTCGTGAGCCCTTCCTGTTTCCATGTCATGTTGCTGGGCCTAATCTTGTTCAGGAACCGTAACTGCAGTGAGATCATGAGTGCATTGGCTGTGAGTGTCTAAAAGACACTGTTTGCATCAGTATTCATTATAATCTTTCTGCCCCTTCGTGTGTGTGTGTGTGTGTGCATGCGCGCGAGCACGTGTGTGCACATGCATAGCACTTGCGTGGAGATCATAGACCAACTTGGTAGAGTCAGTTTTCTCTTTGTACCTTTATGTGGGTTCTGGGGCTTGAACTCTGGTCATGAGACTTGCACAGGAATTGCTCTACCCACTGAGCCATCTCATTGGCCTAATTTTTGAAATCTTCATCTTGCATCTTACCTATTACAATTATCTTTGAATTAAAAGATTGAGGAGTTACCTTTTGGAGGAGTCATGTTGCCTTGAGTTTTCACATTTCTTTTGTTTCTGTGTTATTGAGTCTGGATCTCTCTCCCAGTTTTATTTTGTGAGCAACCTATTCCTGAGGACTCAATCCCCAATACCATTCAGAGAGGAGGAGACAAATGACTGTAACAGTAACTACAGCAAACCATACACGATGTAGAAATTGAAGTCAATTAAATGTATCACCAATGATCACGAAATAGAAAATGGAAAAATTAATTCAGAACATCCTTTTAGGACAGGCTTTTGCTTCCTCACTGCCTTGGGGGGTGGATGTTAAACTTTTCTATGTGGTGCCTGTCTCTTTCTTGGTACATTTTTTAGCTGTTGAACCTCTTGGGATCTCTTTGTCTTAGATATAATCGCTTTGCATTGTCATTCCATGCCTTGTTAGAGTGCAATGCCGTCCTCAAGATTTCTG